CCTGGTCCTGATGGGAGGTGAAGATGACTCCAACTTACCCAGGACAGTGGTCTGGTGGTCCAGTGTCCTCTGTGTCTTTGTAGTATGGAACCAGGTGGCTGTACAGAGAAGAGGCCAGAGGAGGGCGGGTGGGAGGGTGTCCAGTGGATTGCTGCCGGGGCCCTTTCAACCTCGGTAGGGCATCCACAGACCTGCCTGTGTGCAACGGGCTCAGCAAAGAAAGTTCTTGAACGTATCAGAATTCTGATCAATTTTGTTTGAAGCTGATAATTTTTAATTAATTAGAGTGCTATCTTAGGGAAATTAATGTTGTGGCCTGTGTAGAATGAATTAGAGGCAAACCTGAATAGGAAGACCAGTCAGTAGACTATGCACAATATTATTTATATGGTGCTTATCTTTATTTTCCTTTCAAAATTGTAAGGTTCTTGAGATTGGTTACTTCTCTTGCATTACCAGTAGTTTTGTTTTGTTTTTTTTTTTTCAGATATGGAAACAAAGTATTTGTGAATATTATCTTGCTGATACTTTTTTCTGCCTCTGTTTGGCTTCTCAATGTTGAAGCACTCCAGAGATTTATTCTGGGCCTTCTTCCCTCTTCTGAACACATTTCCTTAAGATAATTCCTCTATTCTATGATGATATACCAGTCATATGATAATTTCCAAATTCATATTTCCATCTCTGACCTCCTCTTCCTCTGATGCAAGCAGTATGTATCTATATTGAAGTGCATACTAAAATTTCTCCTTGGATATCTAATAGGCATTTCAAATCTAATATGTTTTCCCTCAATTTTTCACCTTCTTCCAGTTGCTAAGGTATAAACTCTATGAATCACTCTTAATTCTTCTTTCATCTTCTATACCCAATCCACCAAAAGTTCTGTGGGGTCTATCTCCAAACTATATCTAAAATTGGACCACTTTTCTTTTCTTTTTTTTTTTTTTTGGTACTGAGGATCAAACTCAGGACCTTGCACTTGCAAGGCAGGCGGCTGAGCTAAATCCTCGGCCCCTTCTAATTCTTAATAAATATTAGTTGAAACAAGGAAAAGGAAAAGATGATGGGGCCATGGTGAATTAAAAAGAAAAGATGATGGGGCCATAGTAAATATATTATGGTTATACCATAAAAGCTGGACATTTCTGACAACTAGACAGATTACTTTGAATTGCAGGAAAACCAGTTTCTACACACAGAGTTACTGGCACAATTAACATATTAATCATATTCTGTCTTCTATTGTGGATATTCGCTTTTTATTGTTTCCCCTAATATAAAACTCTTTTCTTTTTTCTGATAGGGTCTTACTATGTAGCTTAGCCTGGCCTTGAACTCACCTGCCTCCACCTCCCAAGTGCTGGGATTATAGGTGTGTGCCATGGCTGAGATTACAAAAAACTCTTAACAATAGACTATGGTATTTCATCTTTGTTCTTTTTTTTTTTCAGTGCTAGGGATTGAATCCAGGGCCTCATGTATGCTAGACAAGCACTCTACCACTGGCTACATCTCCAGCCCATAAAATATCTCCATTATTTTTTTTCTTTTTTTTGTGGTACTGGAGATTGCGCTCAAGGCCTTGCCCATGGTAGGCAAGCACTCTACCACTAAGCTATATTCCCAGCCCCACTTCTGTATTTGATTCATCCTACACAGGGCCTATGACAAGGAGGATCTCAAAAAATATTTAATGAGTAAAATAATTAGAATGTTCAGATCAATGAAGCTGGGGAAAGTAGAGACAGGCTAAATAAATTTTAATATCTTTGTAGCATAGCAAATATCTCTCAAAAATACATTAAAATTAAAAAATGATTAAAATGTGACTTATTAAAGAAGTTGAACAGCATTCTTCTTAAGAGGAAACTACATTTTGCTGTACAGCTTCAGTTTGAGTGCATAAAACTCAACATTAAGTCTTGTGGTCTCACTGACCTATTTCTTTTTCAGTAGGAAAAAAATCTTTCACAAATCTCTCAACATTACTTTCCAGTAACAGGACCACATGACATGAGTATCACCTTTAACAAAGGTTTAAAGTGGAAGAAACAACTGAAAAGAAGAAAAGTAAATAAGCTGAACATTACCCACCAAATGTAAGCTATTCCTCTGAGGGAAGTTTTTGTGGTTGCCAGATTAAAGGAGACAACAGATGCCAAAGACAAAAGGTAACTACATAAGATGTACATACTACTGATTTAGAATTTAATAATAATTTAATAAATAATCTTATTTTTCAGATTTCTGTGTTACAATTGCTTAATACAATAATAGAAGGATCAGTTGTATCAGAAGAATATTTTCAGACTAACATATGGATGTTATTAAATTGGCAAAATCAAGCTAAGTTGAGTAAGGTGTAAATATATGTTAATATACAATTACTTTGCTTGTGCAGACTAATCTCAAGAAAGCACAAAGAACATTTTGGTATTTAAAATTACTTTTAATTTATTCTAAAAGAAATCCAGAAAGCAATAAAATATTGAATATCTGATACGGTTTCTCATGTAACAGGTGAACACTTGCCAAGTTCAGAAGAATGGCCAGGTTGTGGTGGCGCACACCTGTGATCCTAGCACTTGAGAGGCTGAGGCAGGAGGATTGCTGAGCTATACAATGAGTTCAAGGCCGGCCTGAACTTCTTAGTGAGACCCTGGCTCAAAAAACAAAACAAAACAAGAATTATGCTTTCAGTCAGTATTTCCCCAGCTATATTTTGAATATTACTATAGACTTCAAATACTCTGTGAAATTTTCCAAAGTTCAATGATACGTCCTCTCCTGGAAAGTATCTGCACACACTGTGACCTCCCATCCTCATACTCGAGGTTTAAGGCTAATTCCTTGACCCTTATCACTTCTACCTTCTGAGATACCCCCTGTCATTCCTCCAAATCTTTCCATTCACTTCAGACCCTGATCCTGACCATACTCCTCATCCCCTACCAGACCCTGCCCTGCTCTCTTCCCTGCTCCATAGTCTCTTTCGCTCAACTCACTCCAGCCTGGCTGCGGGCCTTCTCCCTTCACCACATCCACACTCTACTCTGTAGTCAACAATCAACTGCATACCACAAAAGCCAGCGATACTTTCTCATCTTCATTTCCACAATATTTCTGCGATATTTTACAGTATAAATTCTGTCTCCCTTTTGAAACACTCTCTTTCTTTGGCTGCCATAACAACTCTTCTAGTTTATCCCCAACCTCTATAGCTGCTCCTCTTCTACTAAGAGTTAAGTACTGAAGTTTCTTAAAGCTCAGTCCTAGAGGCCAAGGATTTAGCTCAGTGGTGCCACACGTGCCTTGCAAGCGCAAGGTCCTGCGTTCGATATCCGGTACCAAAAAAAAAAAAAAGAAAAGAAAAGAAAGCTCAGTCCTAGAATTTCCCCTTCACATTCCATACAGCTTTAATCATTACCCATATGCATTTGAGTAAAAAAAAGGGGGGCCCCAGGAATTGAACCCAAGGCCTTGTTTTCACTAGGCACGTGTTCTACCCCTGAGCTGCACCTCCAGCCCTTCATTATTTTGAGATAGGATCTCATTAAGTTGCCTAAGCTGTCTTCAAACCTGCAATCCTCCTGCCTCAGCCCCCCAAGGAGCTGAGACTACATGTGTTCACCATTGTGCCCAGCTTGCGTGAAAAAGTTCTATCTTCTGCTAGTTCCTATCTTCTGAACTATAGGTCAATATATGTACTGTCAGGTATTTGTTTTTGGACACCACGCAGACCTCCAACTCAGCACCTAGCCTCTCTCAGGACACAGCACCACACCATCAGTGCAACTCACCTGTGCCTCGGTGTTGTCCTTGCCCACTTTCTCTCATTCACATTCTCTCCACCTGGTCCATTCCCAAATTTTCATCTCCTAACATTTAAAGATCCACTGCCTGCCATCTAGCCACTCTATCCCTCTCTCAACTGTGTCGTCTTTCTGTGCCACATTCTGGGTGTACCCCAAAGGAAGAAAATAGAAGAAAATCTAGCCAGGCACCCTGGGAGGTTGAGGCAGGTGGATCACAAGTTCAAGACAAGCCTGGACAATTTAGTGAGACCCTGTCTCAAAAGAATAAAATAAAGAGGACTAGGGGAGAGATCTGCACATTTAAAACAACTGTCAGAGAATCCCAAACAATATTCAAATGCTAAAGTGGTCATTGCAATTACATAAAATAATTAGGCAGAAGTGCCAATTGCACTAGTTCAGCACAACAAGTGAAAACCAGAGACAATGCTAAACAAGTTTAATGTAAAATAACCAAAAGCTTTGAATGTATCGAGCATGGAAAAAATTCTCAAGCTCTAAAGCACTGCAAACCACAGAAAGGATAAGTTCCTTTCTTTACATTTCCACTGGGTCTCAAAATAAACCTTTGTTATTTTCCAGCTCATTATTTAAAAAAACTTAACACTATACAAATACATCATACTGAATGCTGATGTTCTATATAATTCTCCTTTCGGTGGTAGCTGGTGTTATCAGTTGGGTACCAAGCACTTTTTGATTACTTGAGACACAGTAATAGGAGAGCTGCTCTGAACAAGTTTATACCAATTCTTTCAATTTCTCCTTTCACTTGTACCTTTACCACGCTACTGTTATGAGAGCAGAAAATCAAGACACACGCTGATTCTCCAAAACCAGCAACCCATAAAAAAATTTCTGAAAAAAAAAATCATACAGTGACTAGGCAAAATTGTGACAGCAAGTGGCAGAAACAAGTATTGATTTTGAAAAAATGGAGTAAAAGTTAAAAAAATTAGTATTTCATTTAATTGCCCTCAAGTATCAAAAAAAAAGTGAGAGCATTTTTTTTCTTCAAAGAGAATTGCAAGAGCCTACCTATTTATTATAGCTTAAAAAAAAGGAATATTTTCTAAGATAAGGTTTGTCCCTCCCCTGGCCCCCTATCAGGGATGGAACTCAGGACCTTGTGCTTGCTCTTGGGAGGCCTTCGGTGGAACCACTGAGCTAAATCCCCAGCCCAAGATAAGGTATTTTGTAGTGCTAGAAGGTAAGGAAGTGCTACATAAGCAAATGAGCAAAACACATCTACAGTTAGGGCCTGTCATATAGATAAGAAGCCAACAAAAGCCAAAGCTGGAATGATTTGAGCACCAAAATAAAATAGTATTAGATTTTTTTTGGGGGGTGGGTACCGGGAACTCAGGCCTCATGCTTGCCGGTCAGGTGCTGTGCCGCTGAGCTACATTCCTGGCCCAGTAATATTAGATTATAACCCAAAGTATTAAAAACAAATATTCGTAAGTAGATACTATTATAAATGAATGATGTAATAAGTGTACAAGAGAGAAAAGACAAATTTCCTGTGTAGAATAACAATTTATGTAAATACAAATAATTTATGTAAATGTAGTTATAAGTCACTTAATGACAGGGTCTTCTGGGATGTGCATCCTTAGGTGGTTTTGTTTGTGTGCTGTGTGAACATCAGATAAAGAACACAGATAAAGAAACTTGTGACAAGGAGGTGTCATGTCTTCCGAGACCACCACTGTACCTACCATCAGTTGGTGGTTATGTGACTGATGGCTATTCCTTGCTCTCAGGGAAGTGAAGGAAGCATAATTCTCCCAGCTTTTCAAGTGGGGGCTGCAGACAATGACTTCCTTCTGAAGCATACAGTGTACCTGACTGTTTCTGAGCCAGGCGATCAGGGTTAGCATCAACAGCGATAACTCATGTTGACAGTGTATGCTTTTGATGTGTTGTGGGAGAATGGTACTTTACCCCTGCTGGCTTTCTCTCCAAAACCCACAGATGCAGTCTCATCATGAGAAAAACATGACATAATTCCCACTTGAAATGCCTGACCAATACCCTTCAAAGCTGTCAAGGTTCACCAAAACCAAGGCAAGTCTGAAAAACTGACACAGCAACATGGAGACTAGAGATATTATGGCTGAATGTAATGTAGTATACTCGTGGAACCTTGGAAGAGAAAGGGACAAAAGGAGATCTGAATAAAGTATGGACTTTAGTTGTAATGTGTCAATATTGGAGTATTAATTGTAATGAACGTACCACACTAAATTAAGATGTCAGTAATGGAAAAAATAGATTTGGGATGTATTGCAACTTTTCTATAAAATCTACATCTATTCTAAAATAAAAACCTTACTTAAAGCTGGGCGTGGTGGCACATACCTATAATCCCAGCACTTGAGAGGCTGAGGGAGGAGGATCCCCATGAGTTTGAGGCCAGCCTGGGCTACACAGTGACTTTAAGGCCAGCCTGAACTAGAAAGACCCTGTTTCAAAAAAACAAAAACAAAACGTTACTTAAAAAACTAAAACTACAAAAAGGAAAAATATATAATTTTCTTGGGTGAGGAGACTAAATATAAAAAGTCAACTTTCTGAATTAATAAAATAATGTAATACCAATAAAAAGGAGATAAAAGAACACTATATTTCTGAGTTGAATGCATGAATTTTGAGCAACAACATAAACACTATTAGGATAAAAGCCAACTCCTCCCCCCGCCCCCACTTTTTACAACTTGTTCTTACATTCTATTTTCCAACAAGCTTAAATTTCTCAATAGGCTATGTATATAATTTCTTCTTCATAAAATACATTTTAGGGCCAGGGATTTAGCTCAGTGGTGCCACTGGCTGCCTCACAAGTGCAAGGTTCTGAGTTCAATCCCCAGTACCAAAGAAAAAAATTTTTTTTTAAATACATTTTTATTT